ACACACACACACAAGTGTCAAAGTCTCTCTCTCTCTCTCTCTCTCTCTCTCTCACACACACACACACACACACTTGTGGACATGCTGATCTCATTCGGAATCAGCGTCGCAGCCCTCATCCTCAGATGGATGTTCGCTGCAGTCAGCTGATTCCGGGTCATCCTCCACGACTGCCTTGCGCTTGAGGCGCTGTTTCTTTTTTTTAACCGGTGTAGTGGCCGTGTCGGTCTTCTGCTTCCTGGGTTTGCCACGAGGACGTTTCCGCTGCGCAGGAGCGTCCTGTGATGGCTCCTTTCTCTTCCTGCCCACTCGGCTCACCCACAGGTTGTCATGCTGGACATCCTCCCTCGTTGTGGGGAATTCCGGTATCTTCTCCTCGGACTCAGGAAACTCCGCTGGCCGGGGCCTGCGTGTGTACACTGCTGTTGCTGTGGGATGGGGCTCGTCTTCGCGGGCTGTATCGACCTCGTCGTGCTGCATCTTCTGTTGCGCCAATCCTTCCCCCTCCTCTTCCTGCTGCATTTCCTCTTCCTCCCCGCCTTGCACCGTACCTTCCTCTTCTTCTTGGTGCTTCATCTCCTCTCCCTCTTGTGGTTGCACCATGCCCTTCGCCTCTTCTTCCTGTTCCATGTAATCTCCCACCTCAACCTGGTGCTCCTCCTCCTCCTCTTCTCCTTCTTCCTCAACCTCCAATGCCTGATTGATCTGCTGTTGGTGCTCCGTGGCTTGTTTAAGACCTCTCTCGATCTCTCTCCGGGTCGGGATAGCTGCACGGCGGGCCTCCTCCTCCATCATACGTTTGTTGACGAGTTCGGTCTCCCGGTCATCCATAGCCTTGGCACGGTTCGCAGCCTCCTCATCTTCGTCCACCCTCGTTTCCAGCAACATCTCAACATCCGTGTCTAGCCGTGCGAACTCGACATCAGATTGCGGATTGTATAGTGCAGTTTCCCTTACCCCGGGCTCCGTCGCTGCCGGGCGTGGCTCTTCTTTGCGCTGTCATCCGGTCCACCTCCTTCCGACGTACGTCGTGCCGGTGACGGACGACTCCGGTCGTAGCTCGAAATAGGAGTCATCGTCGTCATCCTCTTCGCTGCCACTCGAGTCCTCCGACAATCCGCACTTCCCCTTCCACAGCTCGTCATCCAAATCACTGTCATCCGTGAGCTCTTCGTCCTTGTCCTTGAGATTTTTTGGAACCCTTCCCTTCGGAGTCTTTGTGAGCCTCCGTTCCCGCACAAGCTCCTCCTCAGTCTTCTCAGCCTCAACCTCGGGCCCCTTCGACACCGATCCATCGTTCTCTTCAGGATCCGGGGCGGGCTCGACGAAGTCATACCACAAGTCCACAAATCCGTTGTTGTTAGTCTCCGGAACACGCAGTAGCTGCATGTTCCAGTGTATGTACACTAGCTTCGCCAAGCTTTCTGGTGACAACTTGTTCCTCTGTTTGGAATGGATGAAGTCCATGGAAGCCCAGTTCCTCTCAGCCGGTGACGCGGTGCTCTACATGCCCATAACCTTGATCGCAACCTTCTGCAATTCGGGCAAGTCGCCACCGTGTGCTGCCCACCATTCTGACGGTGTCTTCTTGTCAACATCCGCCTTCGCTGTGGGGTCCCACATCTTCGTGTCATTCCTTTTCGGACCGTTCCTTGTAGGTTTGGTGTGGAACTCATTTAGGTCACTCCAAATGTCAAGGTGCGCTTGCCCTTTCCATTCACCTCCAACCTGCCTCGAGAGAAAGCGCATGGTATTCTGCACAAGCGCACTGTCTTGGTCATGCAACCACCTCGGTTCTGTCCTGCGCGGGTCCAAAAGAAAGGCTGCAGCGTGGGCGGGCTGCCGCATCATCTTCATGCGATCTTTGACTTTCTCCATCACGCTCGCCCGCTGCTCCACCGTAAGAAGGACATGGCTAAGCTTCCTTTCTATCATGTCGTCATACTCGACAAGATTTGTGGGACCGGTACCGTCCTGATCCATCCGCCTCTCAAGAGGCCGAACACGGGCTCCATCACATCAACCACCTTGTCCAACCCCGCCCACCACTCCTCACTCCTCAATGTGAAGAACACCAGATCCGATCTGGCCGTCAACTTCGACGTGGACCATCGGATCGCATTCCACTTTATTGCATTCCGACGGTTGACCATGTCCTTCAACACCGCCCTCCTGTCGTGTATCCTCTCCAACATTTGGTAGACTGACCTGAAGCGCACCTCTGTGGGCCGAAGAAGAGAGTGCGAATCGTCCACTGTCATCATCAGACTGTTTGTGCTGTGGTGATTTCTGATGAACTTGACGATTGTGTGGCCCCTCTTAACGGTGTGCTTCACCCAATCGAGTTTGCTGAGGTCGCGCAAGAGAAGGCTGCAGCAATGCGCAGCGCAAGGAAGCCACGGAATCCTTGCTAGCTCCTTGTCCGTTCGTCGCTCTGAGCCGCCCTTTTGTTGACCTCCACGTTGTCAGAGCAGATCGCATTGATTCGACGCAGTGCGATTTCCCACATGATTTGCTCCCAAAGTTTCGCCAATGCAGGTCCGGTCTTCTTCCTCCCGGACATTGACACCGTCGCCACCAAAACCGCCCCATCCACCCCAACTGCCAAGAAGTTCATCACGGGCTGCTCCCGACGATCCGTCTGTGATGAAAGTACACTCGCTGACATCCCAACAAGTCGTCAACAGCTCCACCGTCTTCTGCACTCGCATGTACACAATGTCCAACATGACGGTTCTCATGTGGTTGAAGGAGGGCAGTTTCACCTGCGGTCTTGACTTTGCCACCTCCAGGTACACTTCGTGGAGTTTCTGGGTGGTATCGAAGTTCAGGAAGTTGAATGGGAAACATGGCCTGCGTCCATGCGATGTCTTGTTTCTTCTGCGCATCGTTGTCCACCCACCTCCTTATTGTCGACTGATGTAGTGAGGACAGCCGTGTGTTCGACCCCGACGCCTCACCCCCAACCGCCTCCAAAGCATTCTCCTTGTGCAAATCCCCTGCATGTAGAGCCCCTGCCCGCAGTGGGCGGTGGCTGTGGCTCAAGGTATGCAGGAACTTGTGCAACCACCTCGTCGGCCTTCTCCGTTTGATCGACCCCCAGGCGCCTCCAAAGCGTTCTCCTTGTGCAACCACCTCGTCGGCCTTCTCCGTTTGATCGACCCCCCCTTTCGGAATCCCGTGCAACTGCCTGTAATTCTTCAGCAAGTACCGCGTATTCTTATCACCCGACAACACTTTCCCCCCGGACTTGACGAGCTCATTCACCATTTCCCCTGTGCGCGATGGACACGGCTTCTGCGTCTTCAGGTAATGTTCCACCACTCTTGAGCTTGTGCCCCTCCAAATCTGCATGCACAACCGACACCTCACCCAATACTCGCCTCTCCCTTTCTCCCCGGCTTCCTGACCCTGTTCTGCGTACTTCCACACAGGCTTCTCCCTCTGCAACCTGTCCTGCCTCGCCTTGTCTTGTGGAACGAACAGCGAAGGGTCCTTTGCCGGCGTGGGGTCTTTGGAGGTCACTGTGGATGAGGATGTAGCGGAGGTGCTTGCAACATTTTCTTTTCCTTTTTCTGCTACCGTTTTGCCCCTCCTCCATCCAGAACCGCCACTCCCCCCTCCAATGTCGCTGGCACCGCCCGCCATAGTGTCGTGGAAGTAGAGGATGCAAGGACAACCAGCGAGGGAAAAACCAAGTTCAAATATCCGAAGAAGAAGAAGAAGAAGAAGAAGACTTAGAAGGAGAAGTAGTAGTAGTAGTAGTAGAAGAAGAAGAAGAAGAAGAAGAAGACTTAGGGAGGAGGAGGAGAAAGGAGGAGGAGAAGGTGGCGAGAAAAAGACGAAGGGAGGGGGAGGAGGAGGAGGAGAGAAGAAGACGACGGGAGGGGGAGGAGGAGAGAGAGGAGGAGGAGGAGGAGCAAGAGGAGGAGGAGGAGAACCTGTCGATTTTGAGTTGCGTTGACGGAAAAAAAAAAAAAAAAAAGATGACGAAGGAGGAAGAGGGGAGAGAGAGAGAGAGAGAGAGAGAGAGAGAGCTCTGGACACGTGGCAGTTCTATTTACACTGCTTCTGCCACGTGGCACTTAGCCTGCTGAAGAAAACCAATGAAATAGAGAGCAGGAGGAGAAAGGAGGAGGAGGAGGAGAGAAGAAGACGAAGGGAGGGGGAGGAGGAGAGACAGGAGGTGGAGGAGGAGGAGGAGGAGGAGGACCTGCCGATTTTGAGTTGCGTTGACGGGAAAAAACAAAAAAAGATGACGAAGGAGGAGGAGGAGGAGGAGGAGGAGAAAGGAGGAGGAGGAGGAGGAGGAGAGAAGAAGACGAAGGGAGGGGGAGGAGGAGAGAAGAAGGAGGGAGCGGGAGGAGGAGAGCGATGGGGAAGAGGAGGAGGAGGAGGAGGAGGAGGAGGAGGAGACAACAAAATGAAAGGAGGAGGAGGAGGAGGACCTGCCGATTTTGAGTTGCGTTGATGGAAAAAAAAAAAAAAAAAAA